AAAACGCACCCTAACACTACCCAGCCTGAATGACAAAGGAAGAATGGAAATGGATCTTCAGTTCAATGATAGAATACCCCATGAATAGTGATTGTTAGAAATACAGACTGACAGTTAAAATCAACGTGAAACATCAAACATAAGTACATTGAATCAAGTTGACACACTTCACAGTGGTATGCAAGTAAAAGGAGATAGAAAAGACTGATACCAAAGGATGCAAGGGTCTATGGTAGAAGATGGTATTTTGAAGTTTAAGTTTGTCAAGACAATAAAGCTTTAAAAGATATCAAAGAATAAATATATCCGTATCTGTGTGATTTATTTTCACTACGAGTCCTCAAAGATTGAGTTCTATCTTCTCAGCAACTCCGGTCAAGTAGCACACACTTCCATACACGGCTCACACTAGCAGTCAAGGATTTGATGGACTGGTAGCAAACATTAGTCTGGTCACCTTGAAACCTTTCCCAACCAAATCCAACCTCCTCTCTAGCATGGTATATCGAGGTAGGCGGTGACTCGGCATGGACACCAACGGTTTAAAGCATCTCAGTCTACATAGGTTCAATAAACTTTAAAGTCAGCATAAAAACAGAAAGATATCCAGAATATATTGCTTTATTTTACCTGTATGAGTTGTTCTTTACCTTTCTATATTGGAAGAAATCTGGTTTCTTCCTAAAATTACTGTCAGCCTTTTTCGTTCTTAAAAAATGTTAAGATATCTCTAAGTTTTGTTTAATATTAGTCAGAGAAGTAAGTGCTCTTTTCACTAACAACTGAAAGCTGGAAATCGAAGTTGGGAATAAAATGTTTGCAAAATATTTGAAAACAGTTGTGCGCTGATTCAGTCAATCAATGAAAGGACTAAATTTAAAATAGTTAATCAGTTTTCCATTTATTATGGCATGGTCTTGGTGGTTATTTGCTAACCGGAGTGGTGAAAAACCAAAGTTAAATTTCACCGTTTGAATTATTGAACACTGTCTGAACACCAAACAACTGGCATTAATATCCACCATTATATGATGAGGTTATATAAGAAGTTACTTTGGTTAAAAGACAATCCAACATTGATTTCATCTGTGATTTTTATCACTGTAAAACCTACAACATGCATTTACTTTATGGGTCTAAAGTAGTTTTCTTAATTTACAAATTAAATGTACAGGAAATAAAATATTTTATTGTTTTGACTTTATAGAACTTACTTGACCAGATTCATATCTGCTTTGTGAGTAATAATTTTCAGACCTTTTAGTTGATACTCATAGCTCTAGTAGTGTACAGCGAACAGTCAGGTATCTGTTAACACATCAATGTCATTCTTCATTTACCATTGAGCATTCAGTATGTTTGCAAAAAGATGACATTAAAACTGGGAAGGAAATGCTGTATTCTGTTCATAAACTAATCTTAATTGTCATTTTTTTGCTTTGTTTACGTCACAAAATCAATATTTTTTAACTAGATCAATAAAATATGGTAATGATGGGCAGTGGCTAGCAGTGGAATATCGGATGTGCATTTCGCCCTATAATGCAAGCAATAACACTAAAAAAAGAATAATAAAAGTTTGTTATGATTATTTGGACTTCGGTTTTCATAACTGTACTTGTGAATGAAGTTGAATAAGGTACAAGCTGCGTAGAATATGAGTACGCTGGAATAACTCAGTCTGAAACAGTAGTTTGATCATCAACTTGTCAATTATACGCTAGTGGTTGACTTCGTAGACCATTGACTTCCACACTGAAATTGTTCGAAAATAAGCTGGTAGTTCATCGGCGGTATCAGAGAGAATACTGATGGTTTTTTGATGTGGCAAACGCAGAATGTTGATGAGCTTTTCTTCTAATCTTATCAATCAACTCACTGCCATGCATATAGGTGTTCACTACATTCTGGACCACCGAAATGGTGCGAAAAGTTATTAGTATTAAAATCAGAACATATTCAAAATTTTCCACACAGATTAACTAGACAGTAGATGCAATCAAATCCACTCAAGAAGTGGAAGATGAAGAAGGAGAATTACCTATGTTGGATTGCAAAAGGAAGCGGAGAGATGATGGAAGCTTAACTATTAATATTTATCACAAAACCAGCACTCGAAACGATACCTGGATTTCACATCATCTCACCCTATATATGTAAGAGAAGACGTGATCAAATACCTAAGTAATCAGCTTAGGGGTTTGACTAGTAAGTCAGAAGACCTAAACAAGGAAATGAAACACATCAAAGAGGCAATATTTCGGAATAACTAACCTCTGGAACTGAATAAAATGTTTTTATAAAGACTGGAAAGAGAAGGAGTGATAATGTTAGTGGTTGTTGCAGCATGTCAAAGAGGGAGTTTAAAGCCTCCGTATTATTGACGTATGGTGAAGATACATCGGAAATTTTACTTTGGAATTGCTACAGTGTTGGGGTCCATATGGTATTTAAAATCACAAACTCGCTTAAAACGAAACTTTTTAGGCTGAGAAATCCAAAAGAGCTGTTCGGAAAAATAACCTAATCTGTAAAGTACGGTGTTAGGATTATGAAGTCAAGTATGTCTGTCAAAGCAGCTGATCACGGATCAGCCAGAATGGCAGAAAGCAAAGGTTAAGCGAAATACACAATGATGGGTCCTACCAAGGTAAGTAAATTAACGAGAACTGATCTATTGGAGTGGAATTGGGTGCCAATCATGAGCATGATATCACCAGTTGATCTTCTCAGTATACGCCCAATCCATCTCTACTTCCTTCTACATACTTGTTGGGTAATAAGCTCTCAGTTGGTCCGTTGCCTGGCCAGAATAACTTGTTGCTTATTATTATTATTATTCTGGCAATCTGATCTTCAGCAACGAGCGTGGGCAGCTGTTGGTGAATGTCTGTAGTTTGTTGGAAGTGCCTTTCATGACATGCTACCATCACATCACTATCACATAGAAGCATTGACTTGACATTAATGTTGAAAATCCGAATCTTGTTCAGGCTTTATGCTGAGTGGAGTGCAGTAGATCTCCACACTGGTTTCAAGTTAGTGCAGGAAGGCCTGTCTTGCTTTTCGAATCCTGGCTTTGAAGTCCTCATCGGTGCCGCCGCTGTCTGTAGTTGAAACGATGCTGCCTAGGTAGGTAAAACAGACCCCTTCCTTTAGGTTGGTGCCTCTTGTTGTTGATGTTGTTGTTGGTTGAGTATCTTCATCACCTCCGTCTTCTCTGCCCTGCCTCTTCTGTCAACCTGTTAGTTTTCGCCTGTTGACCTTCGAGTTTGTGCGACAAGACATTAGACATAAATCATCATCGTCGGCGGCGAAATCCAAATCTTCTTCTGGCGTCGTTTCATCGGTCCAGCCAGCGTATGCCCATCTTCTCACAGCTCCTCACGGTTTGCTGCATGATCCAGTTGGCCACAATCGGCAGCCTTGTCTTACACCTGTCTTCACTTCACAGGTGTCACCGAGCTTTTCGTTGTGGATCACTTGGCATGTAGCATCATTTAGCATATAGTTGTTGAATGAGGTTGATAAAGTTTTGTGGCACTAAAAGCGTGGTGTTGAAGTAACTGCCAGTCTCGGTCGATGCTATCGAAGACCTTTTCAAAATCGATGGAGTTGAGGTAAGGTGAAGAGTTGACTGGCACTTTATGCTCTGTTTTATGATGATGCGTAGCGTAGCGTTGCAATTTGATACTCACATGATTTGTTCTTCCTGAATCCAGCCTGTTTCTTCAGTAATTTTCGATCCAGCGCATCCTTTAGTCTCTTTAGGATTGGAAAATGTTGCTACCAATAAAATGAATGAATGATGTGTTGGACTGTATAAAAGAAGTTTGAAAGTCATATGATTAATTTGATATGAATATGATCAAAAAATTCTGCTCGAGACATCCAGTAAATTATACTGTATCACTGTGTGCTACATCGAATAAACAATCTAATGTGGAATCGGTCTTATATAGTTTGGTTGCGATTAAGCTGAATTTCTTTGTTCTTGAGAACATCCAAACCGTGGCTGGAGTACATCGTAAATGGACTGAATCGAGCCAGTGATGTGATGTGAAGATACACCGTTAGCCTTCGTGAAAGGCTTCACAGTTTCATTGCGAAAAATTAGTCCTTTCTGATTCATTGAGCATAATTTGATGGACAGATAACTTGCCACAACGTAATCACATTCTAAGCATATGTAATACAAATAAATGCAGACGAAAACCATTATTTCGCAAAATAAACGAAACTCATTTAAAATACACTGATTGCCTAACGGTATCTTTGCTGGCTAATTCGAGGCAAGAAACTTAGGTTTCTCTAGTATTAGGACATGTATCACCGTTCAGAACGCATTCATCCCTATTGAACATTGCAGCCTCATCTATGCTTATATCGACTATATACTTCCCTAGACTATAATATGTTCACAACTGACAAATGTATACGACAAGATAATACATAAGTGAAAAAACAACAATATGATGCGTAACAATGATTTTGAACTTGTATTAGTTGAGCCTTGAATTACCTTTTATCTAAAATGATATTATCAAGTGGGTGAAATTTCTAGTTTATTTCCAAAAGACAGTGCATAGAATGCCCATTAACAATATTCAAAGTAATTTACACATTCAGAGACTGTATGCCGTCATTCTAATTTCTGTCAGATAATTAGGACGTTGTTAACATGAAGACAATGATGATTTTTCTGACCTTGATATTTTGGAAAAAATATCCTTCCATGATCGGAACACAAGTCTGTCAAAACCTATCAAAACATTTGAGTTCTAAGAATAAATTTAGGTGTCGAATATTGCTCGCTTATGGACTAGTCAAGTATTGCGCTTAAATATCAACGCGTCTTCGTCTGCCAGGTTTTCAGATCGTAGATTAGAACAATATGTATCTTTTTGCGCTTTAAAATGCTCTGACTTGAAAATCTAATTGAAACTTACCTAACTTATTGATAATAACATGATTTATCTCATTACATTTTTCCTATGCAGCAGCTCAGTTGTCAAATCCTCTTCAATATGATCCTTTTGATCCAAGTAATTCCACATGGATGGCGGTCTATTGGACAAGCCTAACTGTTTATCTAGCAGTATTAATGATAATCGATGTGCCTTTTATTTCAAGTGTGAAACAGCTAGACGATAGTGAAGCCAATTCAGGTAAGCACCAATCGATGACTGGTACCTGTCACAAATATAATCACGAAAACGTTAGCTATAATGATCAAGAGGAATCTAATCACACCAAACTACTAATAACACAAAGACAGAAACGCTCACAGATACCTTCAAGCTACCCAGATATGAAAAACAAACCATACATCCCAAATTTGAAAAACTATTCACTATTAAAAAATTATCCTTTCCTTGAACGAAAACAGAAAGGAAGTAACAGTCAGTCTAGTTCTTATTTTAGTACATTCAGATCTAATTCCTCATTTGGAGTTGGGGATGTGAAGACAAATCCTATTAATAATATGCCTCCAGATCTTTCAACATCGACTTATGCTTCTCATTCTGCAACACCAAAATCGTCGTTGAAACCAAACTCTCCAGCTCAAGAAGTTATAAGCGAACCCGACTTTGATCCCGATCAATCAGTGTACATAACTTCTGTGAAAAATTCTACAGCTGTTATTCCATGTAAGGTCAATCATATTGACTTCTCCTCCACAGTGGTAAGTCCATTGTAAGGTAACCTTCTTTAGCAATGCAATCCACTGACCAATACGCTAAACTGGCAAACAAAGAAACTTAATCGGCTAGCTTGTACTATGGAATCACCGTGTTGTAGTTCTTCTTCGTAATTTTATACCAGTAATGAAAAAATTTCATTGTAGTATTCATCATAGAGTGATATCACATGGAGGAATATTGGAAATCTGGGAGCACTGGACAGCTGTTTCGTCTTAGTATGGTGACTAGCTTCGAGAGGTGATTGCTGAAATTCCAATGAGAAGTCGTGACCAATGGGCCAAACCTGATGGAATTGAGGATAAATCACTCAAGGATGACATTGGGTGATGGTCGCGCTACGTCCTAAACTGACAAATTTAAAATATGGACCACTGGATTCCGACCTAGTGGCTCAATGGTAACTTGCTGGTCACGAAACATCAGGGTCCTGGGTTTGGTCCCTGGCGGGGTGGGGTCATGGGTGAGCACTGCCAAGGAGTCCCATACCAGGATGAAACAGCTGTTCAGTGCTCCCAGGTTTCCAATGTTTTTCCAAGTGATGTCAGTCCATGATGAATACCAACTTAATATCAATAAGTCACCCCAACTCCTAAACTGAAGAAATATATTTCTATTCAAAGTTTTATGTGATCTTTTAAGTATCAGTGGTTTGAAAGCAGTCAAGGAAAAAAGTATGAATGATTGAATTTTGTGGAGCGATACTCATGGCAATGACACACTATTATTATCACTCCTGTGTGAACAGTAGACACATTGAAATCAATTGTTTGACGTTCACTAACTTAGTAGATGTACATTTTGTGAAAATGTTTTTTCACAAAGAAGAGGCACTATCTATCATTAGATATGTGTTTATAATTTAATTACTCATACCACTGGATTGATACTAATCCTTGACAATATTGTGAAATAGAAATTAAATTAAATCAGTAATCGCTCTACAGGTAAGTAAAGTAATAGTCTTGAACTGAAGATTTGTTGAAACCTATTTAACATGGTAATGCAATATAATTCAAAGTCAGGTTTTCACAATACTTCAAGCAGTTATTTAGAGATATGTGATATTCCTGTTTCTACTTACATTAACTAACACATGTAATCAAAGCAGGTGAAACGTGAACAGGAACAAAAAATGACCTAACTAAATAAGAGCACTCAACTTTAAACACTAAAACATAACCTAATTATCTGAAGCATATTCATCAATATAATTATACCATAAAAGACACAAATTCAGTCTATGTGTACTGTAAAATGGAAAGTAGGAGAGGTACTTGTTGGTGACATGATATACACACACATATACATGCACACGAATAAAATCATGATTACTTCAAAGAAATTTGATTATATTATTGGGATGAAACATGTAATCAAAATTTTATTTCTTAAACACACGATCTCAGCCATATCACTCTCAGATTCTAACTCGTTGTTTCCCATTTGGGCTCCACTTGAGGCTCTAGCCTAGCGCGTGATGTCCTGAGATGGTCTTCTCAGTATACGCCCAATCCATCTCTACTTCCTTCTACATACTTGTTGGGTAATAAGCTCTCAGTTGGTCCGTTGCCTGGCCAGAATAACTTGTTGCTTATTATTATTATTATTCTGGCAATCTGATCTTCAGCAACGAGCGTGGGCAGCTGTTGGTGAATGTCTGTAGTTTGTTGGAAGTGCCTTTCATGACATGCTACCATCACATCACTATCACATAGAAGCATTGACTTGACATTAATGTTGAAAATCCGAATCTTGTTCAGGCTTTATGCTGAGTGGAGTGCAGTAGATCTCCACACTGGTTTCAAGTTAGTGCAGGAAGGCCTGTCTTGCTTTTCGAATCCTGGCTTTGAAGTCCTCATCGGTGCCGCCGCTGTCTGTAGTTGAAACGATGCTGCCTAGGTAGGTAAAACAGACCCCTTCCTTTAGGTTGGTGCCTCTTGTTGTTGATGTTGTTGTTGGTTGAGTATCTTCATCACCTCCGTCTTCTCTGCCCTGCCTCTTCTGTCAACCTGTTAGTTTTCGCCTGTTGACCTTCGAGTTTGTGCGACAAGACATTAGACATAAATCATCATCGTCGGCGGCGAAATCCAAATCTTCTTCTGGCGTCGTTTCATCGGTCCAGCCAGCGTATGCCCATCTTCTCACAGCTCCTCACGGTTTGCTGCATGATCCAGTTGGCCACAATCGGCAGCCTTGTCTTACACCTGTCTTCACTTCACAGGTGTCACCGAGCTTTTCGTTGTGGATCACTTGGCATGTAGCATCATTTAGCATATAGTTGTTGAATGAGGTTGATAAAGTTTTGTGGCACTAAAAGCGTGGTGTTGAAGTAACTGCCAGTCTCGGTCGATGCTATCGAAGACCTTTTCAAAATCGATGGAGTTGAGGTAAGGTGAAGAGTTGACTGGCACTTTATGCTCTGTTTTATGATGATGCGTAGCGTAGCGTTGCAATTTGATACTCACATGATTTGTTCTTCCTGAATCCAGCCTGTTTCTTCAGTAATTTTCGATTAAACACATCTTTTATTTTTTCCGGGATGATGCGGCGTAATGTTTCGTTTAGGGCGGACAGGGGTGGAGGGTGATTCCACGCCAGCTCTATCAATTACTTCAGTCTCCCTTCTTTCGGAGTTTGGCAAGGTTGAGCTTTTTTCAATCGGCTAATACTTTTCTTTTCTCGCTCCCAAACTTTCTGCAGTAGTGGTCTTAGCGCATGTCCTCTTATGTTTCTGTCTTTTTTCAGTGCTTGCTTCCGGAGGAATTGCAGCTGGTCCTGCTACTTTCCCGGTTTTCAGCCACGTTATCGGGTTGAGGACCTCACTTCTTCTTTTGTCCAAGGGCCTGTGTTCAATGCTAATTCTGTTGCTGGATTGCTAGTTGTATTTCTGGACCTGTCGCAGTTAGTGGTGGTGGATTCAAGAGTTTTTTGAAGAGACCAACCTATCGTTTCTTTTTTTCTGATCTCTGGTAACTATATTTCCTTCACTACCTCTCATTGGTTCCATCTGCGATGTGTTGATCTCTTCCCTCCTAGATAGTAACCTGATTATTCGATATGCTGTTGTCATGTCTCTGTCTTTCCTACATGCAGTTTGCTCTGATTCACTAGCAAGTATATTGTAAGAGAGTCTTTTGTCTTTGCGCGCACTATTCTTCACTTCTTTATCCAGTGTAGTGTTTCATAGGTTGTATTCAGTTCCTCTTCTCGTTGCTCATCCCCGCACTGCACTGCACTGCATTGTTCATCTTCTGCTTCACCATCTTCCTCTCCCTGCTCTATTGGCTTCCATGTGCCTGTCGAGATACATTCCATTGTCAAGTCTCTTCTTCTTCCTTCTTAACTTGGTTATGCAGGCTTCTTTCCACATACCTTCCAGAGGGTTCCAGTGTTCTTCAGCGCAGGTTTCTTCAGTGGTGCTGCCTAATGCCTCCCATCTTTTCCACATGACTGATTGTAGTGAAGACATCGTTTGCAGTTTCGTCCTTCAGTTCACTTTCTGTTCTGGGTGGTTGTTGAACTTGAACTGTGGTCTATCACCAACTTCTGTGAAGGCTTTCAACCTGATTTGGAAGGTAGGTTCCTTGCACTAGGTAGTGAAGTAAGTGGTGCGAACCTACATCTGCTCCTCTCTCTTCTTGATCTGATCTTGTGACCAGTAGACTGCCTCTCCACTTTCTTCACATTCAGATGAAGTCGATCTGGTTTCTAGTGTGTCCTGGTGTCTGGTGAAATCCATGTCGTTGCCTTGTGAATATCTTTGTATTTTTACATACTGTCCCCAATTACCAAGTCATCAAATGCCCAGAAGTCTGCAAACAGTTCTCCATCTCCACTCATCATATCACCGAGTGCCTGTCGACCTATGGTTCTCTTCTTGTGTTGTCCGCCCTCAGTTTGGCATTCATGTCATTCTACCCATCATTATTTTGATGTCATCATCGCCAACTTGGGTGGAGTCTTGTCTGTAGAATTCCTTCTTCTTCTCTTCATCTGCATTATTTGTAGGTCCACTGTGTAGCACTGTATGATTGTGACTTCCCTTCCTTTTGAGTTGAACCTTGCTGTCATGATCCTGGAGGAGATTGATTCCCACTGTATGACAGATAGCCTTCGATGCTCTTGAAGGGGACATCATGATAGCCACTCGAAAACTCAGTGTGCTCGTGGTTGTCGTCTGGGTTACAATATCGAAGTAGATTACTGACTCTCCAGGTGACAGTTGGGAGAGTCCACTTGCATTCGATCTGCAGATTCCTTGTGGATTTCTAGGACTTGTATACTGTACCTTCTCATCTGTTTGGCAAGCTGGGCAGCCTTGCTAGTTTGAAATATGGTGCGGACATTCCATGTCCTCATTCTTGCGTTTGCTTTCATTTAGAGAAGAGAAGACACGTTAGCGAATTAGATTTCCGAAGGTTTTCACCTAACGGTGTCATTTCGTCTCTCCGATTCCAGCGAGGAATAAGTATGTTTTTATTTTACATTTTTTTTTTGTGTTTCGAAGTTTATTTAGCGGTTAGATTGGTTTTTCGCGGTAAGGTTGCTAGCCCTACGCCCAACCTTCTCACTTTATCCGTGCTTAGTACCGACTAGCAACTGGTGAACTAGTTAACTGAGAAGAAATTTTATTATATTATCGGGAAGAAACATGCAATTATACTTATTATAATGAGTTCATTCACTAGCATCTTCTCCTTATTCATGATGACCAGTCCCTTCAAGGTCCAGTGAGGTCATTTGAAATTTAAGAATATTAGTGGTTTTGTTTAAGTATTTTACTTTCAGGCATGTTTATCCACTACTGAAGACAGTTACTCATGCAGAACTATTATATCTGGGGAGAAACTTAAAAATCCTGTCTGCGAAAAGATACTAAATGTTTAGTTGGCATCTACTATTTTGTCTGCATTAACACTTTTTGACACTGTTTTAGTAACACGGATTTATTTAGCAGCTTACAACCATTCTTCAAGCACAT